TGGACAGGACTTCCTCGCGGAATAGCTTTCCCTTACACCCGGAGGCTATGTTCCAACACCAGAGACTGGAGTCGCCTTTCCTGCAGCCGCCGTCACAGTCACAGCCAAACACATTACACTTCCCGATCCCACAGTAATACGAGGCTTCCGAACAGTCATAACAGCGCTCAACGCTTCTGGAGCTCTCCTCACACTTCAACGGCACGTAACAGCACTCGCCTGAAGACATGTCTATACAAGACATCACCACAACAGCCAATAGACCACAACTGATCGCAATTGAATTCATTGTTATTTCTGTGCAAATAATATATTCATACAATTATTAGTTTAGTAATTCAATAAGTTTATAATTATTCAAGACTTACTTATTTTGTTAGAATAGAAAGTTTTCTCAATAATTGTTTGTTAAGTAATACAACTTTTAAACTGAATGACTGTGTGTGAAAGTGTCTCCTATTTATATGAATTATTGATCGATATTTTCATATTTCTTAATAGGTATGCAATTAATAAGTTAATCAATTATAAGATAATGAGTGAATTGTGTTGTTTTTCTGTAATACCTATCAGTGGTTCTGATGACTCAAAGCTTGTGAGAAAACAAAGTCTGTAACACTCGTTGGTATAATTATCTCTTGATTTATCGCAATTTTTGTATTTACGTTCAATTATTATAATTACGTAAATATGATAAACAACCATTAGATTATGTTATATAATTGTTTAGTAATATTCTACAATTTATAGACAATCGGTAATATTTTCATATATATTGTGTAATATTTATTGAGTACCAAAAGTACTTAAGATAACCTACTGTATTAATAAATAAGTTTACGTGAATTAAGTCTAAAGTATCAAGTTTAAATATCGCACAGTATTATTTAGTAGAGTACTTTTAAGTAGTATTTTAGACATATTCTAGAATCTAGATTATTGAAAAAAGGATATTGTTATTGCATAATAAACTTTTAAATCATTAAACAGTTTACTAGAAATATTATTTCTTACATTAAGTTATCATATTTAGTTATTCCATAAAATAAAATTATTGTGCAATAAACATTATTGACAATTTTTAAATGAACAATTATTTATATAATATTGTATTTAAAATATAATATATTTTTAATATATTTTAAACACAATATTATATAAATAATTATTGAATAGTTAAAGTTTGAATTTATTATATTATTATATTATATTATAATAAATTCAAAATTTAACTATTCAATATAAATAGCCTTTTCATTAACATTAATTCAAAATTCATTTGATTTAATATTGATTTTATTATTTTCTAATAGGGTATTTATACAATAAAGTTTGATTTTATTACAATCATAATCTTATTTGTAATTTTAACACAAATATTAATTTTATTATATTAAAAATTAATTACTTCTCGTGATTATTATTATTAAAATTAATTATAGTTTGTATTTTATGTTTAAACTTTAAACTTAATTAACTTTTAAACAATTGTAGATATATGATATAACTGATAATCTCTGTTATAAATTATAAGTTATATCAAAAGGGAATTTAATATTTATTTAAAAACTTAGTTTATAAAAATGTCAAATATTTTGCCACAGAATAAAGTATCAATTAGTGATTTACCGCAGAATTGCTTATTATATTTATTCGATAACTACTTAGATTTTAAAAATAAATTAAATTCACAACAAGTTTGCAAAACATGGAAACAATTGATTGAACTCTCGTTTGGATGCACTCGATGTCTAATTATCTCTGATTACGAGCTCAACAACAGTCGCATCCATGGATTCAATGTATTAAATAGCAAAGCGGCGACCATTCAAATGGTTTGCTTTCATTTGATCGACANTGTGGTCTATTGGCTGTTGTGGTGATGTCTTGCATAGACATGTCTTCAGGCGAGTGCTGTTACGTGCCGTTGAAGTGTGAGGAGAGCTCCAGAAGCGTTGAGCGCTGTTATGACTGTACGGAAGCCTCGTATTACTGTGGGCTCGGGAAGTGTAATGTGTTTGGCTGTGACTGTGACGGCGGCTGCAGGAAAGGCGACTCCAGTCTCTGGTGTTGGAACATAGCCTCCGGGTGTAAGGGAAAGCTATTCCGCGAGGAAGTCCTGTCCATCACTAACGAGAGCCGCAGCTCATCGGACGTCAAACAATTGGTGGCTGAATTGGACACCGATTCCGACGGAAAGGTCAACTATGATGAGGCGCACCGGTATTTAACCAAAATGGCATCAAATGGTGTCAACATTAGAGAGGAATTCCACAAAATTGACAAAAATAGTGATGGATTCCTGTCAGCTCAAGAAATCGACGGATAAACTGTTGCTTTAAATAAGTCTTAAATATCTATTATTTTTATTTATTTATTTATTCTTAACTATTAGTGGAATCTTATTGAAATTATTTTAATTGATAGATAATTATTTATATTCCAAGATATAAATAAAAATCTGTTTAAAAAACAAATATATCTAATTGTAGGAAATTACATAAAATATCTATTAGTTTAATAATACATAAACTTATATTAATACTAACAACTATTTTCTTAGATTTGATTATCAATATCAACAATTAATACAAAATGAATAATAATGAACATTAGTATTGATCAAATTGATTTCTGAGCCTAAAATTGGGATCAAAGACAATACGCCTAATAATAGCCCCGAAATCGGCGTTTTGTTGCAATTGTGCCGAATGTACAGCATTTGTATGGGTGTCGATGCGAGGGCTCACGTACTTCATCAGGAATTTGTCGTACTTTGCAATGGGTTTTTGTTCAGGGTAAAGTTGGTCCACGTCTGTCAGTAGTTCTGTCATACAAATAAGGTACCACTTAATTGAATTAGTTTTGCACATATTTGATATGAGTTTATAATACTGTCAAATATCTGTCCGTCCGATAATCTCTTTCCATCTTCTTTGTCCTCTTTAGTCATTACACGTATGGGTAAAAGACAATTGAAAATAAGGAAAATAAAAGTAACTCGTATTGAATAATCCATTTTCATGTTTATACAATATGTTTACAAATTACATTTAATACTACACTCATTACTATTAATACTATTTATCAAAAACTTACTAAAACCCTTATGGCATTCATATTATTAATAAATTAAACAAGAAAACATAATTAATTCAATAAAACCTGTGATACTGTATATCAGAGACCTCAAAATGTATAAAAAACAAAAAAAATGTTGCACATAATTTATTTATTTCATATAGATTATCAGTAGATGAAAATCTTTACAAACACAAATATAATTACTATTTTCACTGTATTCACAGTCACCTGTAAATGTGAATATTTTGAGATTTCTATATTGCTTTTTTCATAGAATCAAAGTATAAAAATAATCACCAACTCAACTTATTGAATCTAATGAGAGATATATTTCTATGAGTAAACTAATGTTTTAAATATAAAAATAGTATAATTAATACTTTATTTCAAAATTACAGTTTATAATTTTGAGTTAATATTTTATAGCTCTCACCCACACTAATGTGTTATTATATTTGTGAGCCAAACATATGAAGGATATTAAAAACGTGTGAGAAATAGGCTCCTTGGAGCCTAACTTTGAGGTGTCTGCTGTATATAATCTAACTTATAATAATTTATAATCTAAAATAAGTCCTAAAAATGTTGTATTAGGAAACAGGTCAGTTTGATAACTAAATTGTTTATTCCTCAAGTTAATCCTTATAATGTTCTTTTCAAAATAAAAGATTATAAAATAATTTATTAAAGTCTTAACATGCAAAACATGCAAATATATAATATTAAAACTATTAATTTTACTATAAAATCATTATTTCACCTAAACTTATAACTTATAAAATAATTTTATTAAAACAATAAATAAGTTGTTTATGACATAAGTTTTCATTTGAATCAATCCAATGGATTCATGTGATTAAATGAACNCTTATAACTTATAAAATAATTTTATTAAAACAATAAATAAGTTGTTTATGACATAAGTTTTCATTTGAATCAATCCAATGGATTCATGTGATTAAATGAACTGAAGTTTGATCGGTTGCTGTCATTAATGTGGTCTAAAGGCCACCAAATTGTCCAAACTTTCGCTTCCTTTGTGAACGCCTTATGCTCTCTATTTAATGAATCAAAATATTTTCAATCAATAAATTACAAAATTCTCAAAAATGTAAACCATGTCCGCGTGATCCGTATCCATCCCCATCCCTCTCCATTTCAGTCAATCTATAACTTAAATGCTTTTTCACTTCTTTCATGCGATCATTGACCGGTGCCTTAATCTTGGGGCCGGACTCCTGTGCCCCCTCCACAAACTCACGCATACATCTATGCTCGCAGTCCTGCAGCGACTGAAATCGGTTGCCATTACCTCCTTGTCCTCTATACACGAATTCCCTGCACTGAGATATAACGACACAGAAATACCATTCGTGCAACAGTTTAGGACCGACCCCACTGTCCGGGTGTTCGGCGCACACCGGGTCCGGCTCTAAGTCAAAGT